GCGTACTCATACACTTGCTAATACCAGGCAAAAAAGACAGAAGCAACTAATAAACACGGTGGCGTGCCTAAGTTTTCATTCATTACGTAATGCACAGCGTCGGGAACTTGTTTATTTACAGCCATTCGCCCGCTTATTTAGCGAAAAGCGCCTTTATAGCAACGCATGGCGCCGTAACCCTTCTGCTAACGGCTGCTGCCTTCCGCCATGTTTTATAGATGGGGTAGATGTGTCACATTGTAATGGACTGGAGTAAACGAGATCAGCTGACTACTAGGTTAGGAATTGGAATAAGTAATTCTTTTTCTGGCGACCCGATCGGTGTAGCTTAGCTGCTAGGGTTAACGCAGTTCAGTGTACGATAAACGTGACGTTGTTTTTATTGCTGACTGTTGTATGATATGGGAGGCGAAAGTAATCCTCCCCACTCTATTTAACGGTACCGCACCCCAATTTCGCCTGTAGCTGACCCTTGGAATGGCTCGAGCCGCTGTTAATGCTGCGTGATTAATGCCTTCCTGATCGTTTTCGATGTGACTGCCTCATAAATAAAGTGGCGCGCCGTTAGGGTCACTGTATTGTCACCATCATGACGGAAATTAGCGTTTTGGACTCGGCACTTGCTACGTACGGGGAACGGGCGTAGCGGGGTGCAAACAACAAAAACTAAATATATTTTCCTACTCCTTCTATGGCCGCCTTACATTTCGTATACCCTACTTTGCAGCAGAAATCTTTTAGTACGAAAAACAGAAATTTTTATGCTGAACGAATTACTTAGGTTATTACGGGATGATCATGCATGCTGTTATATCTGGCCTATTGAAAACGGTTTGCAGCGACTGAAGGGTTGCACACGTGGCTCTAATTTGAACAGAACAAACCTTCGGGAGTTCTTAGCGGAACTACTAACTAGCGTAAGCCCGAAGTGCAGACTGTGTTCTCTGTGATATATATGGTGAATTAATGGAATAAGCTTACTTTCTGATCCTTAATTAAGAGCAACTATGGCCTAAGATTCTTATCTGCAATAAGGAGTGCTGCATACGTGACAAAAAAAAAACCACGAAACGCTGTGCATCCATCGAAGTATTATTATTCCTATATTGCGATTTAGTAGTATGAGCTTCTTATAACACACCCGGATGATGATCAAGAGCGCATGATACATAGATCATCGGCAGATTTTTTAATGAGCTTACGTCTCCCTAAATAATGATGACGGTAACAGATAAGTATGAAGTATATTTGAAATTTTTTTTTTCTGTATTTCACATTTTTTGAGAACAGCGTCGTTACGGTCGTGGGGTAACTGTGCTCATGTGATTTACTTGAATGATATAAAAACCTCTCATGATATTAAAAAGCCAACCCTATCCACACATTGTGTCCTATTCGTACTCACTGCTAGCTTCAAAACGATATGAAAACCTGGAAGGCTTTACAAACACCAATGCTGAGTGTATATATATATATATATATTAGTATTGCGTATGGTCATGCGTGCCATTATGAATCGTTCCTTATGAGGCAGTCATTTTCGTGTTGACCTGTGTTCCAATAAAGACTGAAAGGAAATATAAAACTATATTTTGTTATGTATTTCGATCACCGCCTTGACATACAGACTGTGAATGGATATATTCGAAACATTTGCCAATACATGAACGTTCACAATGCGACTGTCACTACCGGCGAAGACATGATGATGGCGTCATACTCAATAACCGTTTTACTCTCATTGCGGTCTCCTTCATTTTCGGGGCTCGCCACGCGACAATAAGCTGCGCCCATCAGCAGAAACTGTCATTTATGAACCAACAGCGCATTGTAACCTCAGCGCAAGACGTTTCTGTCGAGGTCAAGCCGCCGACCGAAAAACAAGTAGACGGATGAAATGTAGACGATATGGCTTGATTTGAAGGGCGGCAATTCTTGATCGGGAAATATCGCGGGCTACATATATCTCGTAGCCTGTACGCGGTATATTACAATGTGCGCAGTACGTATCGGGAAAGCCATCATGCCGTGGTAAAACTGCTATCATTGGTCCGCATACTAGCAACAGCACAGCCTGCTGTTGCTGATGATGAGAGCTTCAGCGAGGCCGTTGGGGGGACGGGACATCACGTAGTGGTGATGCTTGCGCTCGCGCCGAAGTTGAGACTGCACACATAACATTATCGCTTAATATCATTATTCCAATTGCTATCTCGGCTGCGACCGAAGCTGTGCTTGATGTTGAAACCATTGACGGTGTTATTGTTGAAATCATAGTCGGGCCGCAAAAGGATGAACGAATGAAGGCGGACTGCAGAATGTTAGCGCGAGCATTTTTAATACCTTCCAAAGGAATCGGAATCGCCAACGTTCTTACGGTGTTTTTTTTTTGTTTTCATTTATATATATATATGTCTCAAAGGACATCATTGACGACGGCTCTGAATAAGTATCCTAAAGTGTTATATTTACGCGAGAAATGTTTCAACGATTTAAGTACGAATTTCACTAGTACATAAATATGTTTGCATGAAATATCATGTAATTTAATTTTCCGGAGGATCCAATATTGCAAAGGTTTGATCGGTGCGATACGTTCACTGAATATAAAGTACTCAGTGATCAAAGATCAAATTGTACACTCCAACATATAGTTCTAAATAACCCTAAAATCTGCTCAAAGTATTTCTCGAAAGCAACACATTTCATATAATATTGGTAAACGGAGCATGTGTATGAAACACATAATATCATTATCAGTTTAAAGTAATGAAACTAAGCGAGCAGTTTAGAAATATATATATATATATATATTTACTATGGGTTATTAACTGTTGCAAGCGAATCTGGCGGACTTCAAAATTAAAAAAAAAAAAACTTATCGACGACGTGCTGCTAGCAGACAAAGTTTGCTTGGTAAATACCCTAATCTTCTGGAAACTTATGTGTTCTCCAGAAAAACTAAGTTCGGAAGGAGAAAAAAGTCTTTCAGTCTCAAAAAGTGTTGGTCCACAGATTTGCGGAAATTCGTTGAAAATTGATGAAGACATTAAGCAAGGAGACCCCAAGAAAAAGTGCAGTACATGAATAATGCGAGCGTTTGAAGATGGTATTGAAAGCTAACGAAGGTGACCAGATGTCGGCACCCGAAGGACAAGAACGCGTCGTCGTAATCGAGGAGGTTTCTCATAAAACCAGAATTCAGAGTCTAATGGCTCTGTTGGCCAAAACTGGCAGCTCACACGTAATGTATTATAAAATTTTAACTTGAATATTGAAGATGCGGAAACTGAGTAAAAAGTGGATCTCCCATGAATCGACTCTATGCTAGTTGGAAATGCATGTGGCTCCACTAGCGATTGGCAGAACCTTAGTTTGCAAAAAACTTGCCTGGAGTATACGGTCACTATAGGCGAGGCATGCTTAAACCCCTGCCGCCCGCCTAAGAGAAACCAGGCGAGAGAATAACGTCGTTCCGGAGAGAAATCTAGTTCGGTGACACTATCAAGCAGATTCGGAGATCAGGTCCCTGACAAAAGTCCTTGCAGTGGACATCAGGGGCATCTGCGAAAATGAGACAATTATTGTAAGTGGGCAAGCATATTTCACTATAGATTTTCCTCGAAAGGCCATTGATAGAAAAGTCATACATCGCGGAACATAAACTATAGACGTATGACTCTCCAGAAGCTGCCAGTCGCTGGGATAAGTGCGCAACAAACAAATGAAACTATTTCTAACACATATCTAAACATGATTATTCCAGCCCAACTAGTTCAAAAATTATTGAATTTAAAAATGGTAAAGCCAGATTGTCTTGTAAGAGTCTAATATTATATACTAATGAATGCGTGAAGTATACGTAAAACGTAGTAACTAAATCCTGCGAAGATGAGCAGCAGACAAAAACGAATGGTTGCACAATACATACACAGAATATAACTTCCCAGATTAACTATCCAAGACATGGCTATCTTAGGAATAAATCGAGCCCGTTGAAATTTCGTATTGCAGGCCATATTAATTGAAAATAACCACCCAGAGTTAAATCACGTAAGTGTATGGTAGTGGGTCTGCACAAGTTTATCAAAAAGCAAACGTACACTATCAGATACAGTTTTAGACTTTTTCCGACCTGCCGCACGAGGTCGCTAGTAGTAATGATGCGTACACAGCTGCAACCGCTGTTCAACTAGACGGTAAGCAGAGCGATTCTCACGCTCTCGGACGGCAGATTCAGTTGGATATCATTAACTCGAACGGTAGATTTTCATTGAAGTCAAGACATGCACTCAAGTGTTTATACATGATTTAAACGTTCTTCCAGTGAAATTCTTAGCCACGTGAGCGATTTTGTAACCTGCTAAAATAATACTATTCGCTTGCTCCGGTTGCGTAACATGTTGGGATTATGTTGAACAGCGAACGTTTTATTTCAGAATAGCGCTCGCCTCTGGAAAACCTTCTTAGCAAATTATAAAAACCACAGCGTACCTTACGATATAAAACGTCGTAATTTTATTACTGAAGTTCATTATCATCATTAGCCTATATACTAGCCAAGCAACAGCCGCAAGGCACATCTCGTAGGTGGAGGTATTAAAGAGAATACCAACGAGGACGTCACCGGGTTAGTGCATCTGCAGGCCGAAATGGCCTGGCAATTATAACGAGCTTTATGGCCAGCTACTGATTACGAACCGGCAGGTGGCATGCTGAGTTCTTTAAATTGTGAGAAATATATATATATATACTCTAGTTATTTGGCTAGCAACAAAATTAGCTAGGTCAGTTTAAAGTAGATGAACAAATCGACCGAATGTGAGTATAGCTACGACAATTGCAAGCAGAACTAATAAAATTAAATGAGTGAGAGCGAAACAAAATAAAGAAGCCAGACGAGAAATATTCGTAGGCATCTACTCTTGTTTATGGTCAGATTTTATTGTACATATTTATTATATAAAAGTAATTATTATTATTATTATTATCGTTTTTATCATAAGTATATATATGCTAGTAAATGATGCAACACAACATAAAAAAGGACAGACGATCGTTTGGTCAAAAAATAATTAAGTCTCCTTGTGTAAGCATGCCTTAACTACTTAGTTAATTTCTGCTAACAAATCCATCGCACGATTTTAGCTAAAGGCACGTAAAATACGTATTAATATTTATTCGCTTATAAAATATATAGCGTGGTTAACAACGAGCCGTCGTATCGGCAACGGTCCGAAGCAAGCTCACTTGTCAACAAGGTAATCTAGCCGATTTTCGTAACCATCCCACCTGTTCAGTCAGAAAGTACAAGCAGTTATTTACAGGATCTATTATTGCGTCACATTGATAGATGCTATGAAAAGCATGAAGTAGTGTGGGACATGAGCATACAGCTAACAGCCAATAGACTGATACGGAAAGGTAACCATTAAAGAGACTAAAAAGCTTATCCTAGAGATAAAAGGAGAGAGGCTGACGTCCGGACTTTCGGTGGGCCAGGTTAGGGTTTAGGTGCACTTACGTTGGAGAATTTATCAATAGGTTAACTGATAATTCTATACTCGAGAATCGGGAGATTGCATCATGTTCATTTGCAGAGGCAGGAAAGGGATCGTCATCGTTAGGCTGAATGAGGCATGGTACCTAAAACAGGTTTTATACAGTAAGGTTACTATATTCATTTCTAATGCCACATATCGATAAACGGTGGTGAGTTTAAACGATACATGTCGGTCGATGAGAGCTGGTTTCAGAAATCCTTAATTATCTTCCATCCAGTAGCGTGAACAATGATCAATATATGAATTCTTGATATTAGTTTATCTCAAGTGCTGATCATTAAGTAAATGCTACGCGGACATGCGCTCGCATTGGTAACTAGAGCAGTTTGAGGGTAACATGTGGCCATATCAACTGGGGTTCGTAGGGTTATTAGAATGTGGACATACAATGCTCTGTGTTTGTGTGCATGCATAAGCAATACGAGGTTACGAACGAGCGCGCCCAGGATATTATTGCTGGCACAAACACTTAACTGGAAACAGGGCAATTTATAATATATGGTTGCTAAATACTATAAGGGTAAATGGCACCAACAAGACAAGGAGTTGTTGGGCAGAGGGTTATTCATTGTCGCTAGCTACTTTGTATTTCCCATTTGGTGTATGTTTAAACGAGCAAACATAATGTACCTAAATACTCACTATCACTGCACCATGTTGTTGCCTTTTTCAGACACTGAAATACACCCGTTGAGTCGTCCTGCACAAAAAAATCACAGGTACAGATATCGCTGACTATAACACAAATGGCCACATAGATCATTTATAGAATGCGTATACGCAAATAGCTATCCGAATATGTGAAATTTCTACACAGAAAAATAAAGCGAGGCTCTATTTAGCAGGAACACACAGGGCTTCTAATTTTGCTTGTTTACCTTTACTACTGGTTCGTCCTTTTCTCTTTTTTTTTTTATCGAGTTAGGGCACGGCAGCCCAGGAAGTTTGCAAGCAGTAGTCAAACTTGTTGTTACAATCCCCATTCCGCAACGAAATGGCAGTTATTACCCGCAACTGCTTCGCCGTGCCTGTCTCAAGCGTACTAAAAATACCAAAGCAAGTCAATAGGTACCACAACAAAGTGAAAAGCTTACCTTATATCAGCGACGCACAAAGACTGTAACGTCTATATAACAAATATATCATAATGGAAGTTTTAGAAAAAGGCACAAAAGCACACTTACTGGTGATGGCTATATACAGTATCTCACTTATAAACTCGGTTTTGCAAAGGTTATTTAGGCCTTCTAAGCCTAAAGCGATCGATAACAGTGACTCTGATATCGTCGTCGTCCTGATTCATTTCCTAGCTAGGAATACATTAACGAGTCTGGTCCGCCAGAAGGTTGCAACTGCTTTGGTTGCATGCCCAACAATGCGCATGAGTGGAGCTTAGATCAAAGAAATTGTCCGGAACAGCTATACATACATCCGTAATCTAGTTTCACCTATACAAAATGACGAGCAGCAGCAAAACAAAGTTTTAGCTGAACATTTTAATAGCCAATTTCTCTGTCTAATTGGTCAGAGAGATGTAAATCATTTATATAGTGGGCTCATGCGAAATTATAGAAAGCAGGCTTAGCATTAGAAGTAGCCAATGGATTAGCGAATTGACCTACAATACTTAATCAATAGGCCCCACCAATGTTTACTGGCCGTTTTACTAAGTAAATTCGACGCGGATTCAAGCGTATATGATAGTAAGAAGGCCTCTTTTTCATTGAACATTCAAACGACGGTTCACGCCTATACGTTCAGCGAAAGTGTCCCTTTTATGCAAGTGCTGAAAAGTACTTATCTTTCGCTCTTATGAATAGGCATCTATTATAAAAAATAGAAACTTAAGCTTAACCCAAACTTATAAAACAAACTATCCTTTAATGCAGCACAAACGTCTCAGATGTTAGCCCCCATTTGTGCGCTGGATTACAAGGCTCTTGTAGATACATAAGCGGTTATAATACAACATTTCGTTTGTAGCAACAGAAAATCTCTGTCCAGCATTAGTGCTCCTCTCTTGCGAGCTACGGTGTCACCTGCGGATCGCAGCAGCGTAAAGAACAAATTTGACCTTAACCATTTAAACGTACTAGAGTTAATCCCGAATTATGTCAAATCTTCATAAGTTCCGATGTCAAGGTTGATAATTCTCTTTAATTCTCACAATTACTGTTGGACATCGTCGGTGATACATGGTTTTGCCACACTTCAGTGAAGGCAGTAATAACCACTATAGTTGGTAGACTCAATCGTAATAGATGGAACTTGCTTATAGTTCAACTTGACCCGCGGTCATCGAACAAAATTAATTTTTCATACGCGCCTTGTGGCTGATCGTCCTAGCGCGTCCTTCGTCTCCAATGACACACTACCGAGTTCGTTTACGCCCCTTAAATGTGCTTTTAAACGTTGTTCCAAATCGTCAGCGAAAATCAAGGCCTAACGCAAACGTTCTCGTTTCGAAATTAAGACCGATCGAAATGTGTATTTTTTCGAATAATACTTTCTGTATACCGAGCCTTCAGACAGATGATAGAAAACTATAGTCGACGGTACGGCTAATCTCTAAACACAGGACAGCCAGGACGAAATTTATGGGTCTCTTTTATTTAGCAAAATAAAGAATACAACGTAAGTTAATATTGTGCATGACCGATATCTACAGGATGCGTAAAAAGCGTGGGACGGCCCTAACTATAGTAAAAGCGAAGTGAGTTTATTTCATACGAATTTCTTTAGGGAAGCTAGGATCATTCATACTAAGTAGGCTGTACACTTTTCCTCATCGACGGTACTGTGAATCACACCTCAGACAAATGCTGGTACTACTTCAGCCGATCTTTAGTTACCGCATTAATTCTGAACAACTGTCCCAATATATATGCCGGACAACGAATTGTAAAAAAAAAATATACAGAATATAATTTTAAAATTAACGTAGCTTTTTGAAGAGTTCGTCATTTTAAGCTATTTCAGAAATTTCTATATAGTACAATCCCATTTTAACATTATCTAATAATCGCCAAGCAGATGGATGGGGCGGGAAAAAAAAACAGTGCATCGACATACTGAAATCTCTGATCGTCATAAAGCTATTTGTTACGATACGATGCGGTCAAACTCGTTGTGCCTTGTCAACGGCCAGCGCCTCATGCTGCGTGATACAGAAATCAAGCGTATCAAGACTATTCACATAGAGTGAAATCAAAAGTGGAGAAAGTAGCTATTATCATTATTACATTAATACCTGATTAACATGATAATAAGCTTTAACCTACTCAACAAAACAGATACTTTAAGGTAACTTCCAATAGTACCTATACTTAAAAAGTTGTTCCTCGTTGCTCAAGTATTAGTTCCATAAACAAACGAAAAAAGGCACCGCATCAGAAAAAAATTAACTGGAGAACTGGGCCTTCTTCCTATATAGGTATCGCCTTCGGGACAAGCACAAAGGCGGCAGATGATAATTTTACAGCAATCGAAAACAATGTAGATCGAAATAATTCCGTCTCTGGAACAAAAAGCACCTCGGCAGACAGACTCTGGAACGTCATGTAGATGGACCGCTGGTACCGATACAATGGACTAACAATTTGTTGTCCTATTTTACGCAAGCGGACATATGAACACTAAAGGACTGCCTTATCCAGCGAAGTAATAATCAAAAACTTTCTATGAGAAAGAAATCACGCTTAAAATGAACAATTTAGTTTCCATGATCGATTCCACTATTATCCGGAAGCCAAACAAACCGTTCCGATCAGTCTGTAGCCATAGTATAATCTAGATGAATGTCACCTGCTTAAGCAACAGTTGTACTCTGACACTGATATTCGGCCACAGTAGAAACTCTGGTAAGATGTAAAATAGAGTAACCGAACGAAAATGCAATTCTGGATCGTAGCTATTTCCGAGAAAGCAAACGCATGTGTAATGGCGGGGGAAAAGGAGCCCGACAGGAGTGTTCCATATGCAGTAACTGTGTGTGGATCGCGATTTCTATTGTAGCTCAATAGCGTGTAATAGCCTGACTGATTCAAGAAGGCAAACTATAGCATAGCCTACTTAGCACTGAGACAGCTTTTCGATTCTGATCGAAATGGGGGCAAGTCCATGGCAATACAGGTTACTACAAAAATCCAAGACTGAGCATTGTTTTAAGATCATCAATTGAACCTCGACTGCATCTACTCCCCTTTTTCAAAGCTTTGAGCAGGGTCAATCATGCCTTTCGAATAAAGAAGCTCATTAAATTGGGAGTAGACCCTAGCTCTACAAACCTGATAAAAGGTTACCTGAAGACCCTAATTTTTTTATGTTGAAATTTAATTACAGCTAAAGCTCTGAACTAGCATGCCCCTTGACACTCTTCATTTCATTACTTTTACCCCCTGTATAAACGATCCTAGCCAGGGTTCAGTATAAACTCTCTGCGGACGATTAGAGCTATTCGGTTCCTCTAGTAATGATGACCATCGCTTGTTGCTTTAGCGGACATTCGAAACCGCGTCTGCATGATGCAGCACCAGTGATATTATCACCCCTGCCCAAAAGGCTATGGCCATATGCCCTTACAAACAGACTCACAAATAATGTGACTGCCTCAGTGATAGCCTCGGTCAAAAAGCTTAGGAGTTACAGTTATGACAGAGGCTGACCTTGATCTTCATATTAACCAAATAATTATGTTAACTTGTATTAGCGTTGATTTGATCTCTAAATTATTTATAACGAAAAGCCCCACAACATATATGAGGTCTTATAAGGATCTTCTTGGTCCGAAATTTCTGAATTCTTTGGCGACCTTATATGAGGAAATATACGAGTGCTACGCAAACAGCGTTTTAGTCGTAGGTGCCTTCAGTTAAGGTCTCCGACAATTGAAGCTGCTATTAAGTAGCACCCACAGTTAATGTAGTCAGTAGAGAACATTTGCATTCTCAGGTACGCTATACGTGGAATGCATTCTTTCTATTTTCAGCATTAAACTACTCCATATGTGACCCTTAACTGCGGAACGAGAATAGAGAGCCGAAAGACCCTAGCAACGATGCATGATTGTTACACGGGTCAAAGCAAGAGAAACAGCGTAACAACACGCACACGAATCGATGCAAATGACCCAGATCCCCCCCATGCAGTGCCTGTGTGTACACACTAACTTATACGTAGTATGTACTATATTAATTAATTGTAGTATAGATTCCTTGTATCTCACACTCAAATTCGGTTCCAGTGAGCATGGGCTGAACACCTAGCTACATGTCTGCGTTCGCGTTGGAAACATGACATTATAACAAAACATATGTTGCCGTTGTATCTAACAAACCTTTGCTGCCTAGGCTTAATAAGCTGATCGCATCAGAACACGCCTACAATAGGAAAATCATTAATACGAAATACATGAGAATATTCACTGCTATCGTTACCTTTACTGCATAACTCCTGCGGACATGTCCTTCACCTAGATATAAATACTGTTTTCTGTAAATAAGGATGCTTTCTTTTGCAGTAAAAATAAACTCAGTCGTTTTCATAAACTGTCCAATGATATCGCGAGTTCGACAGACACACACGCACACACAAACATTTCGTCCTGCTAACTACCAGATCAAATTAATATAGAATTTTATATTGCCCGGTACCGGCATCAATCAGATTTTAAACAACAGTGCGGTATAAGTGTGAGAGCAAGTTGCTAGGGTAACTATTCCAAGGTACGCATAAGTTAAGGATATATAATAAACAATGTTCACAATTAAAAAAAAGCTAAAGATAAAAATGAATAAGCGTCATAAAAAAATTTGTCATTATGATACGAGTAAATCATTTTGAAGTTTCTTCGGCTGCAAAGTTTCTAACTTAGTCCTTTAAGTTCCTGTATCACTATCACGTGATCTCCACAGGGATCGTCTTATTTGTTTGATGCAGCAGATGGCTTCGTGAGTACTCATATGTAATTCAAATCAACCGCACCTATTCCTATATAGAGAGCCGCCTATTTAAGATCTACGGTTCTCAAATTGCAATAACTTAATAATAACAAATAAATAATCAGGTACGATTTTACGCGACACTTTAATGCGTATCTAAATTCTTACATCTTCATTCATTTGCGCATCTGGATATCTTTGCCTATATAATTAATTAGAAATTACCGACAGCCAACTAAATGATTAATCTATAACCTACAATCATTCATTCAGCGATAGGTACATCAATACAAACACTGCCATCGTAGCTAAATTGTTTAGCGGTGGAAGAACTGGTATGTCATAGATTTTTATTGCTTTACCCCACCCCACCCCGCTCAGCTCCGCCACGTGTTAAACGTAAACATATACTGTGGCACGTATGCGTACGTTTACTTGCGATGCCTCTCACATAACGACTGACCTGAATCCCCTTAATTTTGTAATCCGTTATCACCACGCACCGCGTGTATATCTCTAGTAGGCTCTGCGTTCTTGTGTGTTCCTAGGGGGCACACGAGTCCTTCTGCTACTCCGCCAGTAATTTAATGACTATTCGGTTCCTCAGTCTTGCATGCAGTGAATGGTTTCTCTTCTTCTCTCTTTTTTCTCTCACTCTCCTTCCGTTTCCCTTTTTATTTTTCTCTGCAGTTGCAGCGCGCCGCACGTAGAGGCAGGAAAAGGCTGAGGAAAAAAGGGTGCACGCTATTGCTGTTGCGGACGACAGCTGCTGCTTCATCTGCCATCGCTGTTGTTGTTATCGTCCTTCGGTCTGCGGACACTGATAACGCTGTCGCCCCCAGTGACGCAGGACAGACTCGTTCTTGCGTTAACCGGGTGTCGTTACCATCTTTTACGTAATTGGTGTCTTCTCATTTCACCTTCTCTCGTTTATTTCTAGCGGCAAAGCTGCTGCCAACCGCCATTATTGCTGTTCCCTTATGTCTTACACGTTTTTAGCCACATTGCTTCTGTCTTTAACTCAGGCGTTAGCAGCCCTTCTGCTCGCGGATCTTCTACAGCTCTCTCGCTTGCCGCCGCGCGCAATCCGCGCTGCAAACTGTGGCACACATGGGGCATCGCGTCACCACTAGCGTCGCCTGCCGCCACCACCGCTAAGGGAAGCACTTACTGTCATCTTCCCTCAGTGCCTGTCGCCTTTTCATGCGTCTTCATGTTTAGGATGATAACGTCGAAGCGACGTTGATGGCCGCTAGCGCCGCGGCGGTGGCTGTCCCCTTCTCATCTTCACTCTTCCCATCGTTGCAGCCGCCGTAGCCGCGGTCACGGGGCAGCCGCCGCCGGCTCCGGTGATGGTGGGTTGTTGTTATTATAAAAGCTCCTCGTCAGCCCCCGTCCAGTTCGTGTGTCTTGTCGTTCTCGTCGTATGTCCTCCGATCCGTTGTTTCGTTCAGCGTTGTGTGTCTATTCATTATTCCTATTACCCATACCTCCTCCCTCCCCCCGCAGCTCCGTGACGAGTCTCGGTTAGTAGTTTGCGTTACTTAACAACTAACAACAATAAGCGTGTTCGGTATCTCTAACTGAAACCATCGTCTTCGTCGTCGAGAGGTAAGCGGTCGAGGTCGCATTGCTGCAAGGATACGGAGGCGCGTGAATAGATAATGGATTTTAATTTTGACGATTGTGGATAGCTTCGTGGGGATGACTATAGAAACAGTGACCCTAAAAAAGGAAAACGCGAAAGGATCGATTTTTCGACGCCTTATGCAATATGTAGGCTCGCAGGATGACAATTTTAGCTATTAGTACACGTGGAACTTTTATCGACGACAACAACGTAATGTTGCAGCGGCGTCGTGAAGAGTTCTTACTTAACGTTGACCAAGGATACTTAAGCGTGAAGTGCTCTAGCCACAAAAATTCACCGTGATGCCTCAGGATATATGTATCTGTACGACTTTTCTAGTTATATGTATGTACGCATCCAATGACTACAAATGCGGCGGCGAACGGTCGACCGACCGTAGTGGTCGCACAGGGCAATCCATGTGTTCGGTGTCACTCCTTTATTGTATTGGATACTCCTTGATTTTATGGCATCCAAGGAGCAAAAAGAGTGTTGTGGTAGTGCCGTCTGATGATACGAGTGATTTGCACAAAAGGTCGTTTTTTCAGTGACAGGCTTTACTTTTAAGCGAAGCACGAATGTTCACTAGGAGACGACTAGAAAGGAGATAATCGGTGTTCTGATGTTTCTTACTAAAGCTATATTTGTTTTATTCAAAATGCAAGCAGATCTAAGGCAGATAAATTAAGTCTCCAAGCTTTCGTGAAAAATAACTCGTATGAACTGCGCACATTCGGAAGCAATAAACATCAAAGTAACGGTAACAGCAATCTATTATAAGCGGTTCAGTTAAGCTTTGTTTTCAGATTGATTAAATCTATTTCATACGATTCAGGATATGCACTTAGAAACCTAAGGCCTTAACGGGTTCTAGTGCTTTCCTGCCTTTTAACGCTCATTGAAAAATATGCCGTCAACTTCATACGTATTTGGGACGTTCCGCTCTCCTTTCCCCGTGCTACTCCGTTTTTTAATTGCCTAAAACCACGAAGTTTTAGTATCCCATAAATATGTCCTATGCACTGCGTGGACTGATGTTCTATGAATTTCGATGCTAGTTTTGCAGAGAGAAGATTTAAACAAATCTAGTGCTAGGTTTGATGAATCACATGAACCAGGGATACTCTTAACTTGCCCGTAAAAGACGTGAAAGGAATTAGAGCTGATGATCTTCAGTCGTGGTGTAGCGATGCGGCCATAACATTTACCCTGTGGATGACCAATTTTGACCCCCGGGGCGTAACACTTCCGTAAAGAATCCACTGGCCTTTTGGCCAACAAAAGAACCGCTTCATAGCGGGAACAGTAGTAGCCGTACGGTCTTTGCCCCGCTTGACGACTCTTACGCCGCTGGAAAATCCTTGCGACGATACACGACACTGCAAACGGAGCATTCGTGCGAGCACGAGCTTCCGCCCCTTTTAACCGCTACGAACCATAGCTTCATAGCATAAGACCGCGTTTTCCTCGTACAAAGACGTACATATTGTACCTAACGCATTAAACAGTACAAAGCCTAACCATTTCATGTGTCCGTATTATTTATACAGACCAAAGCTTTGTCGGTATTGTTACTGAAGTTGTAGCACGACTAAGAGGCTTCTACTAGTCAAATTCATCATCTCATTTGTAAAACTACAGTAGTACTTTGTATTCGTCCATCCTATATAGACATACTACTCAGCACAATTTTTCTGCTAAACGGATTTTATGCTTCTACCTAATGGAAACAATTTTTTTCGTTTCAGAAGGAAGGCGGTGAATTATGAAGGTGTTCACCATTGCTCTCGTGGCCGGTAAGTTAGCAAATAGTGGCCACCATTATATTGAAACGTTTCTTTCTAATCTAGTTACAGAACAAAAAATGCATTTTAGCTTTTCACAAGTAAACGTGTAGATTTCTTTAAGTTCTCTTAAGTTGTATGGACCTAGCCAGACCATTCTGTACACGGTCCAAAATCTAAAAACAAATTGACAAGTTCCGGCCTAACTTAATATATCCCGTGTTTTTGATTTGCTATATTTGACGCATTTTTTTTTTACCAATCGTTTTTTCTCAATGAAAGGAGAAAGAATGATATCTATGGCCTTTGGATCAAGGCCCAATAACTGCAATTCGCTTAGTCAGATCACGTCATCAGCTCCTTTTTTTACTTGAGCATTTTCCCAAGGAAGTCCTTGACAAAACGTGGAACCTTGAAGAGAAACCCCAATAAGTGGAATACGTTTCGTTTAAACATTAAACCAGATGTTAACTTCCAGTCACGAGATCGGAGATCAGCAGGGTATTACCTTAAGCTAGGTGTCACAGTCGCGTAAATAATCCCTAATGACTAACTTTAAAGTAGCCTGTCCCCACAAGCACATACTTACATTGTGTGCTTAAGCATTTGTCTTGTAAGAGTGACCTTACTTCAAATACAGGAAGCTTTCTAATATCGTCGTGATAGCGGTTCCAGAGTGATACCTAATTAATAGAAATAGATTAAAATCGATTCCCTTGTTCTGACCCTTTTAGCTATCTACATAGTGGGTCGCTGCGCTTCGTTACATTATATTCTACATATTCAATCATACGCCTTTACCTTCCCAGTTTCGACTATCCCAGAATATGATGGCGGCATCACCAACACCGTACGATAATACCGACCTACGCCCAATATGGCTGTAGAAGGATCAGTACTATCTTCAGTTGGCCATCATTGCGCCAGTGGTCCGACATAACTGTATTTGTGCGTACGCGCATCAGCTGTATAGCGGAATAAGCAGTGATCTGCGGTATATGTAACATCATCACCGTTGCCAACGCATGCGACCATTGCTTCGGCTTTGTCTGTCTGCTGGGTTAAGCGTCTGTGTGCATTTACCTATCTGTCCATGACGGTTCTTGACGTCGCCCGAGCCGCTTGCCCATTAAAAGATCGTTTGTCGCTCCGTACGTTGCCGCTGTTTCATGTGCAGCTGCAACGACTTCGATGGTTCTTGGACGAGTAATCAAACAACAGTTTAGCTTACCGCACTTTTCACCGTTATGTTAAATAAAGACGACGGTAACGCCTGGTTTTGTCCACCATTGAGTGTTGCTGTTATTTTAAGTCCTGACCAAAAGCATCCGAATCGTCCAATTCTGTCGATGCGTCGTTTTTCGCTGTTGATGATCATATTGAAGTGGTCACGCTTTTAGTGACTATACCGCTTCCGGCGATATCGGCGCAGTTGCGTTGTAGCGGCGCCAAAGGCGCTTACGGGGACTGCGCGCAGAGCTGCTAGAAAAACGGCTCACAGAACTTCTGCGAACGGAACAGGGATTCTATAAAGAAATAGTTGGTACACGGGGCGCTAAGACACGTGCTTCTAGTTCGCTGCGCGGGGGATTTGCGACCTCGGACAGCGGTGATCGTAGCGCCGACGACAACAGTACGGCTTCCGTAAGCGTCACATCACCCGGCGACAGGAAGAATAACTAAGCGTCTTATTATATACTTAAGGAAAACAAGTAAATAGAACAGCTGGTCTCGATACAATGATATCGAAAGTAACAGTTGCCGAAAGTGACTGGCCGATAACAAGGCCCATAATTCAGTAGAACGTCGATAGATGGTAACGTAACTGTTTGCCTAGAGAACAGTTATATGATCGCCATGATCTACTGCTTTCCTTTGTGAATATTTATCTCTGTATGTATAGACATCTAAAACGGTATCAGGCTACAGTGTCTATGTGCGAAGCTCTGTCCTGGTAAATAAGCAACACCCATTTTGACGTGATCCGCATTGGAGACTAAATCTCTCTGCATGTACAGTTATCGACGTAATAGAGCTGGAATTACTGCCAGTACACAGTTAAATCTCTTCAAAAAGGCACCTACATATCATTCAAACGAATTGTAGAATCCTCATGCGTAGGACAACGCTGCTTCGCTCGTTCGAACTGTAAACCGTTACGTTACGATAGCTAGTCTGCTAGTAGAGCTTGTATTTTACCAAAGCAGAGACTAACGATCAGCCGACAGCAGGCCGCTATAAGATAATCCCTTCGTACTTGGTAGTGTAGCGCGGTTCTGTATCTAGGGAAGCCTACGTGACGGTTACCTTGAAATGGGAAGCAGAGTCCTTGTCAATGAAAATGCCGTTCAATACGGTCGTGAACACATATGAGTCAGTATGATTCGTATTTTTCTGATACACGTGTGTTGTTTTCATATTTCAGCTGTCGGCAGCCAAGCGGTTTTTGCGGATCATTCCGATAAAGGGGTAAGTTTTATTTTTGTCTCTTGCACCCGTTTTGCTAAAACTCTTTCATGTTACATATAAGATTTATAACCTAAAAAAACACGATCGCAACCTATCGATAGTAACAGCGTTTTATCCATTCACAAACAACACATCTCCAGCTAACATAGAAGAAATCCGGGTCATTTTAAACAGTGATTCGATAGGTTCGTCAAAGTCCACCAGAAGTTGTTCAGGCAGACAGTACTATTTTAGATTATAATACCATAACGCAACCTGCTTACCAAGAAAGCAGTGGCAATCATCCCTAATCAAAGGGCATCTCAAAATCCAACAGGGTGGCCAAAACCATCAGAGACAGGCAGACGGATGGACCTTTTATCGACGACTGCATGCTGTCTTCACATGAAGTTCACTTCTGCCACCGATGCTGATGGCCAATAGTTCGCTATATAATTATTGCTAATCTTGTTATTTGGCGCTTATTGTTTAGCCTTTATCATCCAATCCTGATTTGTGACATTTCAACTAAAATGGCCACATGATGCCCACAGCAGCGAATATTTGCCAGGAGCCATTGAAAAAGCAAACGGCGAGACATAATTAGTCGCCTGGACGGCGACTAGCGTTGCCAAGTTATCCGTTGCTCATTCTCTCTTCGGTTTCTGGCCGTTAGCGCCGGCAGAGGCCAACAAGGCCGCGTTCATTCATACCTGCCTCTCTCGGTCCGACTGCATCGTTCACTTCTCGTAACGAACGTTATCGACGTTGGAATGGCCGCGACCTTCAGATCATCTGCGTGGTCCGACGCGCACGGAAACATTTGCTGTAGCAAGCAACAGCCGTAAGTAACAGTTGACCATCGGGTGCCCCGATCTAAGGCACGACGATGCATCGAGGCTGTGATTAAACAAGTTATGAACGTGTTTACAATTCTCGGCTATGTTAACACTGCCAACAACTCGACAACAGATCGTAGCTGAGCAATGGCAATCGCCAACGGAATTGAATGCATTGGATGGCGACGTACCGATGTTACGGGAAATTGAGATGAACTCTCTACGCATGGTGATTACACAAGGGCACTATGTGTGAGGTGATAGTTTTCAATGGCACAGGTTTCCAGTAGCTTCTTCGGTCTCTGTTCGGTCTACGGGAAGGCCTGCAGGCAGAACGCGCCCGGTCTTTTCAAACAGATACAGCAAACAAAGCTGATCTGGCATTGCTACCGCAAATCATCAGCAAATAAAAACCGTCCATATAGAATCCAAAGAATTAAATCGAATGGAACGAACCGTCAGTCAAAATCATAAATATTAATATTTTTCACGCGGGAACGAATAGTATAGATCGGATTAGGTGCATCTTTAAGATGACATTTGAATGATTATCATCTGTTCGTAGCATACATAGTTAAACGTTAGCATTCTAGCCTTTATCATACTTGGTATGCGTTTTCGATAGCCTACAATAAGAAAACTCTCTAGTTCGTAGATTCTGACCTCCCAGACTATATCTCTGGTAAAATAAGGTTGCGTAGTTGCCCTGAAAGGGGTCGATTTACTTTAGGAGATCATACTTGACAAAAAATGTTCTTGAATGTTCTCGTAGATTTATTCACCCTATTTCTAAAAGACTTGCAACTCTTTCGTCTTGCGCATGCTCTGCTACAAGCAGGGAAGCTAGTTGTGCTATGTAACCTATCGCCTAACCTAAAATACACACGATTGCTACGTACAAATCTGTTATTCAGATAATGCTTAGTAACTCTCTGTCGTTCGAGAATAGGTTGGCTTCGTGTCATTTACTTGGTCACAATGATTGCGTCATTGATTTCAACGTAATTTTTTATGTTCTTTTAGTTTTCTTATATATGTTCTTTTATTCCATTTTGCACTTACGTCATCACGAGACTCGTCATAAACGTCTTCGTAAAGCTCTGAAGGGTCTTTAAGGTGCAATAAGATAAATCTCCTTCGATTTCGCCGCTTATTCGCCGTGAGGTACATAATGTTGCCTGCATAACTATATAATATTTTGCCTTGCTTTAGATTACATCAACGACACCCGTGTCGGGCGTAGCACCAACGGACCATTGTCATCGGTAGCAAGACATCATTATAATGACAAAAAGGTGCAAAGGATTAGTAATACCAGTGGTGGGCTTATCATGTTCTACGTGTGAAGTAATACCAATCAATACGTTTACAAAAATGGAATGAAAGTCCTTTTCCCTACTTCTTTATCCAACCTCGTTTGTCGTTCTCGTTATCCAGCCATTGTCGAAGGGTCAGTCGTACCTTACCAAATCATTGCCGCGATCCAATGACTTTGTCTCTAGGCTGTTGACTCAGCTCAGAATGAACGGTTTCGCAATCGAATAGTATTATATGCGTCCGTTCATCTAACAGTACTTGCTTTCCAATATGTACAAGTTAAACGGAGACCGGGGGGGTCGTCTGTTAGCAACTGTTCCCGGCGCCGCTGTATGCTTAGAAATAACTCGATTTCTAGACCGACGATGGCTACAACGAGCGCTGAAGTAAGCGAACGAATGATTTAATGCCCGCCTTTAACCATTTTGCATTTCGTATTCTTACGGAATCTTATTTTTACTGGCGCTCGTCGTCTTCTCCTAGAATTTTTTCCAGTCTGTGCCTGATGATGTCAGGAACCGACTTGATTTCGGGTCGATGCATTGTGTTGACAAATTGTGGTAGAGGCCAGGACGGCCAACACCCAACGCAGCACGACTATTCTGCAAGATGATGTCGTTGTCGGTAAGACATTTCTGGTGTTCATCGATTGTCTCGTCCTGTGCATAAATAGGGATTGAATTTCGAATCTGTTCGCATCTCGTGAAGTAATTTTCTCGCCGGGTACGTGATCGACGACAAAGCGTATCTGACAGAATTTTGAGCATCACTATGTAAACGAACGTGTTAGCGGCGCCAAAAGTATTTTTATGAGAAATGTCCCCGTCGTTCTTTGACTCTTCTTCATAGTTCCATAGTAATGGTCCACAGAATTTCAGCAAGTTGGCTATTGGTCATATCAAAATCAAGCAGACAGATAGTAAATTTAGTAATGATAATGAGTTAGGTTATCCAAAATAAAATACAATTACCTAGCAGATGTCTATGTATTAATTTGGGAGTGTATTGACACACCTAGGTTGAATAATGTTGGTCCGATAGCTGTGGCTAACTGTGTCATCCAGACGCTCGCATACAACGGATAAACTCATTTTAACCGGCTAGTTCACTCTAACTGACAAGATCAACGATGGCGGCGATTTCTTTCTTTGGTACAAGCCAGACTTCGACCTCGTTTGTTGCCAATAATGCAGTTATGAAGTTCTTCTGCTTAATGGCCATCGGACGAATCTTACTCTCAAGTGGCGCATCAACTGAGGTAACTTAGCAGGAACAACAGGGAGAGCTGGGCTTGTTGTGACCTACCATACTTGTTTGCTTTTAACACAGACGAAAGGATGGCAATAAACGCTGTTAGTTTGCTAGTGGACCTCGCCAAGCAGAATCCATCATTGACAAATACTAAAATGACGTAACCCTATTCGTCTAAAAAGAAACAAACAAAAGCTGTCTGGCTGATGTCGCGTCCTGTTGATCCGAGTGAAGATATAGTATCTCTATCGACGCTTCGGGTATTATTCGATATCGCCCACCGGGTCGTCGGACATTCGGCATAACTTCGCACGCGCTGTCCTTTAAAGTGTTCCTTTCGTTCTCGGCGCATATTTTCGCAATGGCTACGTACGTCCCTGCCTATAGTCAGGATTATCAAAATGCAGGTTTTTGTAAAGTACCTTCGCGGATTATCACGTACACAAAAACCGAGCGCAACGACGCGCGTCTGACAACAGAGGCTATATAACTATTTGGCTGCATATAAATATAGGTCTAGGTAGAACTTGTTACCTCTGTCGGTTGTTAAATCAGGTCTACGTGAGTACGTCGAAAGGGCAACAGCTACTACAAATGGTGGTGTTACAAATATGCCGTTCCCCCTAAGCCAGGTGGGCAACCTCTTTGTGATCCTAAAAAATTGTCAACATTGGTACCCAACGTCGGCTGCTCGGACACGTCACATATGACAAATGCAGACTCACTTGAGTAAGTGCATTCGTGTTAAGAAGCAAACTGTGCCTCGTTTCTTGGTGGACAGGTTTCTTGCCGTGAACTTTATGGAACTAAGTCTATCCTACTGTCGTAAGGCGTTAACTGCAGCAATAGTCACATACATACAATAATAACCAGTCGTTGCAAGAACCACTGGCAACAGTGACGACTGGGGCTTAACTGAACATCTTAATGGTCATCCTTGACCTTTGAACAGTGACCATGTGCGGGTCTGGCTCTTCTTCAGTTGCTGACGTAAAGCTAAGCTATTGAATAAAATAGGTAAAACTTTTGCCCGTCTCAACTGTACACCGTCGGTCTGTCCCGCGCCCATTTATGATAAGCATCTATCTGTCGCTACCGGTGTTCCGTGCCATATGTCATTTAGAAGAAGCAGGAGACAGCATACAAAAAATATCGTACCAAATTAGGGTAATTTACTAAAGGACGACTTGACAAGTGTAAGTTTTTAATTAGTTATGTGTATAAAACGTCTCGCTTCGGCTCTCCTTATGTAAGGAACAATGTTTTGGCGAACTAAAGAAACGATTATGCTTCCTCGACTATGCAAAGAATCGTTCATCACTTGTTTCCTTAATACGAATATATCATAATTGCTTTTTTGTGAACTAGACAAATGTTTAGTAGCACATAGCTACAGCGGTCGAAATCTGTGAAGAAAATTTTATCGCAACCTAATTCACCCCTTTGATAAAATGCGCGTTATAGAGACATCTAAGAACTTATTCTCGATCCATCTGTGGGTATTTTGCGGTGATAAGACGTTTGGCGAATTTGTAATTATTTCTGTGGAACTTAATAATTAAGTGACGCTTCTGTCTCGCTGTCCAAATTAATTCCACAGTTATTAAATACATA